AGAGCATAGAAAGCAATCCAAAACCAGGAAAAGAAAGTGTGGACTGAGATGAAGAAAGAGTTATGGAGAATGACACAAACACATAAATATGCTAATTCTGTAAAATGACATAAATGTCCAGATGACTCAACAATACGCCTGCATTTATCCCGTACATGCAGCCAAATCTGACTGAAGATGCTGGGGAGAGCGTGCCTGCAGGCTGCAACTCTTTACAGAGAGACACTGAGATAGATCTAATGTACAGTATAATGTTTGGCCTGAGGAGTACACAAGGAAGCTGCTGTGTCCTATTTGCTGGAATGTTGAGCTCATTTTGGTGAGCAGTTCATTCTGCTTGCCCTGTGGGATCTTAGCCACAGGGTGAAATACAGTACAATCTATCTGTTTTTCATCAGACGCAGTAATAGCCTCTCTGTTGTGTCTGCATGATGCTAAAATCTCACATCCACTTTATCTCACCTTAACAGCTTGGATGTCTGGGAAGAGCAGGAGGAGATGATGGACATGTTATAATACTATCACATGGATGAACACATCAGGAAGCTGCGCATTTCTGTGTAGGCTGCATAGGTGTGTACACTTGGCATCAAATCTAGTCGTACATGTTGCTGTTTGTGACAAATAAGATTAGACTTTTCTGTAAATGTGGATGCTTTAAGACTATTATGTGCAAAATGTAGGGACCACAAGTCATGAGCTTGCCTCATGTTTTATCGTACCTTCAGGGTAAAGCTTCACACAGTGTTGATGAGTAAGACAGATCCACTTCTGATGACAGCGTGACACATACAGTAGGACTAATCAAATTATGTTGTCTTTTCAATTTTTGGGCATCTTTGTTACAGAGAGCAAGATGATTAAATACCACTCTCATGTTCAGTGCATGAATGGAACTAAGTACATTTTCTTAAGTACTGCACTGAAGCACCATTTTGAGGTACTTGTACTTTACTTCCCTATTTCTACTTTATACTACTTTATACTTCTACTCCACTGCATCTCAGAGGAAAATATATTACCTTTTACTCCAGTACATTAGATACAAATGAAGAATAATCCAATAATTTATGATGTATCATTAAATCTTTAACTACCCAGCACTACATAAATTATTCTAAATTAGCTCCTCATTTACCAGCAACATTAATATGGCATACACATTAATGCATTACTAATTATAATCCAATATATGATTCTGAAAATGGCCATTCAGCATGGCGAGTATGTTTACTTAAGTATATTTTAATGCTAATGTCTTTGAACTTTTACTTAAGGGCAGCGCAGGGGAATGGCCTCTGGGGCTCCAGCCCTGCAAGTTTTCTCAAAAGCCCTGAATCTATGTCATTCCCTCAATAAATCTATTATAATTGAGTAAATATTCTTCTGTTTAATTCAAGTATGTATGAAGTAGTATTCAAGTATGGAAGACCACTTTACTTGGAATTATTGGGTATACTTTATTTGCAATTTGAGAGGCCCAGATTATTATGGCATGGATTTAAATGTAGCAGGTTTGTCAGCTAAATGGTCATTCTGTGCTCACCTATTTTCTCAGGTAAACTTCATGTGTGCTTATCTTATTTATGATCCAGACATTCAGGAGGTTTTTCACAGGAACCAAACTATTCACAGAGGTCTCTTCCTCTTCTGGACCCAGTGATTTACACCAGTAAAAACACTGAATAAAACAGTTTCATGTTCAATATTCTGTGTTTCTCTGACACCATACAGTGGCTGATGCAAAATCTTGAATGTACAGAGCGATTGTTTGGTTTGTCAGTTCTGGGCTACTGTAGAAACATGGCAGTGCAAGATGGCGCTCTCCATGGAGGAGGTGTCTTGTAAGGAGGCAGGATAAGTGGTGGATGGGTCACAAAAACCCAGACTTTCCCGTAGCACTTTCCCCTGGAGAAGGGTGTTTGGGACTGTGTGAACTTTGAGTCGTTGTAAGGTACATTCGCACCATGTTTATTTTCCTAAACCTAATCACAGTAATTATACTTGCCTAAAGCTAACCTCCGTAATTTTACGTAAATTAGATAACTGTACATTAAGGATGCGTTGTGCCCGCATTTTCGTAGGATATCATGCTAAGCGTTGTATGAGGATACGTTGTGTATTTCCAACACTGCCGATCAGAGCTGAACGAGGCTGGAGCATATAAATATCTGTGATTACTGCAGAGTCATTTGACCCCGGGGAAAATGCCAAGTATAACCTTTCCCATTAAAAGAGCCAGATAATAGCTGGTGTTGGTGGGGTTTGTTTTTTTTTTGTTCAGTGGGAAAGGGGCTTTAGATACATCATCTGGGTACCATAAATGTCTGGTAGTTGTTGAGATATTTCAGCATGGCTAAATAAAACAGATACCAGCTGTACATCTACATATTCATTTAAGTCACTTAACAAATGCAGCCAAATCCCTAACACTTCCCCATCAACAGATAAGAATAATCCTCCAAAAGGTAAGTCACATCAAAGAGGGAGAGTTCTCTTTATTTCTCCTGCTCAGATTTACTTTCAAGACATGATGAGTGAAAGCACGGCACGTGCTAAGAAACTGTGGATAATCGTACGCAGAACACAGCAGTGGAGCTTTGGGAGTCAGTGAGGTGAAATACTACAAGAATTGTGGATCCCAGAGGCTCAGCAGCACGCCACCTTCAGCTGGAGATAAACAAAGAGGTACAGCATCTCGCTAATCCTCAGAAGAGGGAGTCAGTCACTGGAAACATGCAAACCAAGGGGATCAAAACACAGGAAAGGCCAGAGAGGAGGGGTGAAGTGATGAAATGTGATGATAGCAACAATGAAATAATGTTGGGGAGCAAAACAGAGGGGACGACTTGGATCTCCAGCTTAGATGTAACGCAGTCAGATTATCAGTTTGAGGAAGGTGATTGGCAGGGATTTAACAGCTGCTATTAATTGGACGTAAAGCTGAAGTGGGGAAGATTATGCAAAGTTGGCTTTATGATGCTAAATAGTGAAGTGGAAATGCCAAATTGGAGCAGGAGGTCTTTCTTTGTTATTTTTCTTATTATAGTTTTTTTAATGTTCTCTCCAATAAAAATGCATGTTCCCCTTTTTTTCTATTCAGTAGCTTTAAAGTTGTTGAAATCATATTCCACACTGCCAACAGCATCACATACATTATATATAATCTGTATCAGCTCTTTATTGATGTTACAAGATGTGTACACTGAATGAAGTATTTAAACCTCCAGACTCCAGACATCATCCTCCAGTCAAATACTCTACATTCTACATTTTCCCAAAGTTCAGCTTGACATATTTAATGTCTTTGGAAACTTTGAGATCTGGGCTAGAATTCAAATTCTAATTCTAATTCTAATGGCAAATGTATACATAAAAATGAAATATATTTATGTTAAACAACTGAATTGTTTTTCCACTTTATTTTTTGTTGTATCTATTATAATTAAGGTATTTTAAATCGTCCACAGTGTTCATTTTGCTGCCTGCAGACCAGGCAGCAGAGACAAAGGAGATAAAAGTGTTGCATGACTACAGAAGCTCAGTTTGTCTGCAGCAGAGACAACACAGCTTGAGCACCTTTCTAACCTACATTTCAGTGCTGTAATGTTTAATACATGTGTACAAATGTGCAAAAGTAGCATAATACTGCTTGCATGCAGTATTCATAACTCTGCATATAGAACATAGATAAACAGTACGTGCAGCTAGTGCTGAATTTTCCTGAAGTGTTTAATCATAATGGGTCTTTGTCTTTCTTTTTTGTGTGTGCTTTAAATATATATTTATTATCACTCTGAGATTCAGGTGCATCATTCTGCTGACCACTATAAATTTAGCTTATTTGCTCATAGCACATAACAATCATCATAAAAAGCAAATACAGTCAGATAAATAAAAACTGGTTGGGGGAGTGAATGAAAGAACATCATTGGAAGAAGTCAGATTAAAATATGGGTGATTACGAGTTCCTTATTTAGATATTGAAGGACACAACCAGTGACTTGACATGTTTTAGTCCATGCACTACAAATTTGGCATTGACAGGTGTCCTCTGAGGTGTTGAAAGTATTTGTAGACTAACTCTTTGCATTCAGCATCACACATTTGCGTAAGGTAGGGAAGGTTAGTATCAATGAAATGAGACTGCACCTCTATCTACTTGTTTCCTTGTTGATAATATAGATAACAGATATTTTTTTCACCCACTGCAGACACTGGCAGCCTGGAACTTAAAGATAATCTACTGGAGTAAAGTTACCATGTTTCCAAATCTCACCAAATTAATCTATTCTAAACAAATTAAGACGTTTGCAGACAAATCATATGAGGAGCTTATGAAATATGATGTTTTCTTATAAACTACCCAACGGTTTAGCCACACAGCTGAAATGACTGGTTGATTACTCAATTACTCGATTAACAGGAAATAATTCTATGGTTTCAGTTTCAGAAATTGCTGCTTTTCCTTCGATCAATTTTAGTTTATTTTTGATAATTTTTTAGGTTTGTACTATTGATTGGACAGAATAGTAACAGGGGGCATTTTTTGAGTACTTTAATTTTAATAAGCATCTCCTTGATACTACATTTGTGACATTTTCATTGCAGGAGTTTTACTTGTAACAAAGTATTTTTGTGGTATTATTACTTTTACTGAATAAAAATTGATCTGGATACTTCCTCAGGGTGGCGCTATAGGAAAAGTCAGATATAACCAAAGTCAGCAGGCTTCATCCTCTGAGGACAATGATTAATTGTACCAAATTTTATGACAATCCATCACATAGTTATTGAGGTACTTCAAGCTGAACCAAACTGCCAGACTGACATTGCCATCCATAAAGTCAAGCCGTTACCATGGCTAAAAACTCAGTGACTTTGTATCAATGATGCTGAATCACAGCTTGAACCAAAGCTCTTCCTCTCCTCATGATGTCACACTCTGAACAGCCGCCTGCCTCCTAAAGCCGGCAGAAGGGGGAGAGAAGTCAGTCACTGTAGAGGGCTTCCTGCTGCAGAGCTGGACTCTCAATCCTCCCTGAGCGTTTTTGCCTCAGACAAGAAGAAGAGAAGAAGCAACAGAGGACAAAACTACTGGAATTTTTAAAAAGAAGAAGGAATCTCCTGAATGGCACTGGTGAATGGGACCTGCAGCAGAAACATGGAGAGGTCAGACCGTGATATGAAGGGAAAGTCCAAGAGGAAGAGGAGGAGGAGGTGTAAAGGCAAAGGTTAGTACAGCAGGCATGCTTGGTTAAGTTTATGTGATTGTCAGTGGGATACTGATAAAATACTAGTATTCATATTCATGTATAGTGGGTTTACAGTTACTTTATTATGTCTGATTTATTGTGATCTCTTATGGCATCTTTAAAATCATCCTCTACAGGATTCTTGTCTCTGTTGTTTGTCTTAAGAGACTTTATTTGTGTACTTTATGGTATGTTTTTTTATTCTAGTGTGATATTCTTCTGTAGGCTTAGAGTTTTGCTGTAATATTTGCCATGATACCTTTATATACTGTATATGATAACTTTACAATACATTCATTTAGCTGATGCTTTTTTAAAGCAACTTACAGTAAGTGTGATCAGGAAGAACTACATGTCACCAAACTACAGTTCCTATTTGGTGATGCATCCCGAATGAGTTACAAATTACCACAATCCTTTTGTAGTAAGTGTTGATAGTGATTTATTATACTTAATGGTGTTTTGGAGGCAGAAACGACCTTATAGTTTGGGTGAAATCTCTGTGGGCAGAGCCAAATAATCACAGTTGTAATGCCAGACTAAATCCCAGCGGGTAAAAAATACAGAATTTTCTATTTTATTGTTTGTTTGTTTTGTTTTTTAAAAATAACAAGCTCTTCTTTGGCATTTGGGTGAGCTCCTTAGTTGCTGGGGGAAAAAGGTGTATCTTTTGCTGTGGCCACTGAGGCTGAACTCAGGTCTGTTTCAGAATCAGAACTCCCCTCTGCACAAAACTGCATGTCGCAGCTTCAGTCTTATTCATGGCACTCAAACTCAAGTCAGGTCAAATCAAGTGTATTTATACAGCCACAACTTAGAGATGCACAGTTTCAAAGGTGGATCTGGTGACAGCTACATGTGACGTGACCTTGACTCTATCCTTTAATCACTGATTGAGAATAATAAAAAGTCGGCCACACTAGCGGCTCTATGAGGCTGTACATATGAGCAGCAGTGTTTTAAGATAAATGCTAACATGTGATGTTTATGATGTTCACCATCTTAGTATAGCCTGCTAGCATTTGCTAATTAGAGATAAACACAAAGTCCAGCTGAGGCTGATGGAAACCCATTTGTTTTGCAGGTATTCCATCATAAACCAAAATATTGGACAAATGAAATCTTTAAACTGCTGATTGTTCTGGAGAAAAGTTGAAAAGCTTGGTTAAAGATAACGAAAGTTATTATTATTGAACCCGAGGGGAACATTAATGTATGTGCATAATTCAATGGCAGTCCATACAATACTTGACAAGATAATTAATTATGGAACAGGAGCAACATTGCAGCGACGTCTTGCTGCTGGTATGGATAAGATTAAACCTCAAAAATTCACAACCAAGAACTACAAAATTACAGAAATACAATATTCAACTGTGGACATTATATATAGACATTAAATGTATCAATAGAAAGTTATGCAAAAAGTTGACATGCCTCTCCTTTACTCCCAGAGATGAATGATAAAAATCTCATGTTTACCTGTTCTTAAAGTCTCCAGGAGTTAAGAGTCATCCTCTGAGGACCATGAATAGAAAGTCACAATAGTGTCAGTGTTTGTTTATATCTGCTCATATTTCATAAACACATAATTCAAAGAGACCAACACAAGTAGATGAGAGGCTGGTGGTGCAAAAGACTTATATAAATGACAATACTGTATATTCACTCTGTTTACTCTGTTATCGTGTAAATGAAATGTCTCATCATGATGCGAGCTCTGGTAATCATAATTACAGCAGTCTGGGCAACAGGTCAGCCTTTCGGGATTAAACTGGCATTGTTCTCCACATGCTAATCCCCAGTAAATGCTGCAGATTACTCCGTGATGGCTTTTGTATTAAGTCCAATGGTTATTCAAAGTGCGCTAAGCCTATTCCACTTTCATTAATGGGCCATTGGCCTTTTCTTGTACATCAGCACGGGAGTGAAAGCGTGTCCTCTTTGAAAAATCATTATTTCTCAAATCCCACTATTTTAGGACCAGAATGCATTTAGCTAATGCTTCCACTGTATCCGACAATGAGCTGTATTTTAATGCCAGCTGTCTGAACAGAAGGTGGCATCTTTTTCTCAAATGGCAGACGTCTCTGTTGACAATAGAGCTCTCTGAATGCACAGCAGGAGGGAAACTCTTGATGTGTGACTGTTGCTATTCTTTTTCCATTCAACAGTATTTCAACAATGTGTGAAGTTTCTCTGTTGCTCTCAGGGTTCGTCTGCATCAAACGTTTCTAGGTCATGATAGAAGAGACCTCTGTAGCCACTTAAGCCCTTTGTATTATGTCAAAAAATAAATGGATGTTGGCATTATATGTTATGTAAGAAGTTTATACAACAGTCTGAATAGTTTGAATAATGTATTATAAGTGGAATATGCTAATGCCATGTTTCTATTCTGCTATAAAGTGCTAGAATACAAGTATAGTTTGTTATTTACGACAGGTGATGATGCTGTCATGTGGTTTTAAGTTCACATGGCTAAAAAAGATTTTGGACAACTCAGTGCTAAGATGAGGCAGAAAAGTTTGAGTAGGTTGGAGCTGCTATAAGTTATTGTGATAAAGTCTAATTAGAACAGATTTATTGGAACATGAAGTCGGTAGTGGACCAGACTGAGATGTAAGCTGGATGAGAATCACCTGCTGTGATGTTGTAAGTTCTGTTCAAATAAACCCTCATTCAAGTCTCTGCAACCCCCTGTACATTGGGTCTTCACCAAAAAGTTGAACTTATTTCATTGGAACATGAGCCAAGACTGATACCTTGCAGACTAAGTTGTCTAGGGACTTGGTGGCATGTAGAATGGCCACTACAACTTCCATCTGTACACCTAAACACCTTTCAAATATCAAAAGACAGCCAACACTTGGTGGAAAGTGATACACACATTCCTGACCAAATCATTATTTCAGGGTTGTGATATTGTCTGACAAAATCAAGCTGGCAAGTTGAATAGAATGGACTTTACTGTCATTATACAAGGAGTACAACGAAATTTGCGTCGCCATCTTGTGCCATCTTTTTTGGAGCCAGAAGTGACCATATTTGGAGGAGAGGTTTGAGCAGTGTAAGAGCAAGGGGTGGATCTGACTGAACTCGAGGACACTGCTGCGGTCGTGACTTGTCAATCACAAGGTAGCCACGCTCTAAAGCATACCCTGTCTATTTTACTCTGAACAGGACCCTAATTTACAAAACGAACATCATGTTATATTGAAGAAGACATAAAACTAGAGACTGAGACCATAACCTCAAGTATAAATCAAGTGAGAAGTAGGGTCATTTTCTCATAGACTGCTATACAATTTGATTTCTTTTTGCAACCAGTGGAGTTGCCCCCTGCTGGCCATTAGAAAGAATGCATGTTTAAGGCCTTATAGGATTGTATGTTTTTGCACACCATGGATATGTTACGATTGCATCTTATTATTTAGCGGATAAGATGAAGCTTTCTGTTTCAACAAAACTGTGGTTGACAGGTTGTGGTTGAGGTTAGGTTTTGGCACAATCACAGGGCAGGGATGTCTTGGTAAAAAACAACTGCCTTTTGTGCCCCTACCCCCACTGGAAAAACAGTAATAGGTCACTGCAAAACACCAATGTTTGGAGCCTAGAGCCAATAGAAACACAGCAATGTATCGTTACACCACATCTGGTTTTGTTGTTTGTTGATCTTGAACAATGGTCTGCATTAATCTGCAGCTCGGCAAGCATCTCACCTAGGTGACATGCCATTCACCATCCCCCCACCTCCTGATGATAAAGTCAGCTTATATACACTGAATCACTTTAGAAACATTGACATGATACATATGAAATGTGTAAATGTTAACGTATTCATGGCTTGCTGAAATTTACAATGCCAGTATTTTTTGTTGGTGACTGGGCTGCACATTGGCTTCACTTTTCCGACCCAGACATAACCTTTTGTCTGTTTATTCATAATTTATACATATTATAGTCCAGACAGAGAGCTGAAACAGAGAGAAAGATGCATGAACAAATTTAACTCCATTAATGTCGACATATGATTCAGAGTGGGTTTTAAATAGCTGCAAGTCTTGTCACCGACAAGTGAGGGCAGCCAGTGAGAAATGGATTCTCCAAATTGAAAACAACTATTACATTATTTGTTACAAGGATACAAAAAGTTACATGGAGTCACCAAATTCTTTTCGTTTGCAGTTTCACTGAAATATTCAGTTTAACTTAATAATTTAATCTGGTATTATGCCTTAGAATCACATAATTCTCTAAAAGAAATGAGAATGTCTTTTTATTCATGTGAAGTAATTTCATTCTCTTTTATAAAAACTTCTGTCTACAATTATTGAAAAAGAATAGTTCAGCATTTTGGAAAAATGTGCTCAGATGTCACGTCTGTGCATTAAGAACAAATCTCGTCAGGAGGCCCCAATCAGCCTAAAGATGAACTGTTTTTGTCAAGGAATAGTTCAGGCACAGTGTCATTTTTTAACATGTCTGCTTTGGTTAATATTAAACAAACAAGAACATGTTAGTGAGCTTTAGAGGTGTGTCTGGGTAAGGAGCCATGCTATCTGTTTCCCTGTTTCCTGTTTCTACGCAAAGCTAGGCTAACCACGCCACAACTACAGAAATTAGATTTGACCATGTGAACCTGGCCGGAGCCTAAAGCTTTCTAACTAAAGTTTTCTAGGTTAAATATAATTGTTTGAAGATCATATCACTGAGAAGCAGGTCCTAATTGTACACTGAATTAAAGTCATAAAAGTGCTGCTGCTGCTGCTCACTAGGAAAATATCCATCCATTGCTGACTCAGTTTGAAATAGAACAAATGAAAATTAAGAATCTTGAAAAAGCGAGTAACATTATTTTAGCTTCTTTGTCACAGAAAACTAAACTTCTCTCTCCCTGTTGAATTACAGGACAGTCTATTGAGTACATGAGCATAATGAAATGACTTTGCTAATAAGGATTTTTGTCTGTACAGATG